AATAATATTTGTAATTTGATTTAATTAAATTTTTTTGTTGAAATTTTTATTTTTATAATGAAAATATTTTTTTTTTAATGTCACATTCATATTGAAGAGCCAATATTTTTAGTTCATACTCTTCGTTCATATGTTTTATTTTTAATTGGTGCAGTTCTCTGCTTTGTTCAAGTTCTTGCTTGACCAACTCTTTTTGCAAACATACTAAACTTTCTTTTTCTTCTGCCAAATTTGCAATTTTTTTACTTGCCGATGCATAACACATTTTTTTTTTTTTTTTTTTAATGATTGTTCTAGGAAAAAAGGAAAAATAAAAGAATAATGAAAAGGATGAAGATAAGGGAAATTTAACATAAAGATTTTTTTCTTTAAACATAATTTGTTCAAATAGTAAATAATATAAGAGTTGGTATAATATTGGTTGCTTAGCTACTATATGAGTATAAAGTTAGTGCAAAAATCTTTAGTATGCATTTAGTTATAAATTATTATGAATTTTGATTGCAGTTGAAAGAAACAGTAGGTATACTGTTATTTTAAAATTCTATACATTAATAACTTATATCAGGTTCATATTAATTCAGTTTTAAACAGGTAACAGTTAAGATTCTCAAATTTTCAATTGAATGGGACACTCAAAAGATAATATTACAGTTTAAGGATTTCTTGACTTAAAATTTAAATCATGAGTATCGTTGACTAACCCCATAACAATAATAATAAATAATAATAATAAATCCATGATCCATTTTTTTTCCTGAGGGGGAGAAAATGTATTTACTTTTTTTTCTTCATACCTATTTGCTTAACCTATAATAAACTATTAAAAATATATTCAAATAACCAAATTTTTGTAACATATTACCTGAAAATAAGTTCAACTCATATCTGAAACCAACTTACCAGAACAGAAATAATTTACCTGTTTTTTTTTTTTAGATGGTGATACACTAAAATTTAACTCAGTAGCTATTGGTTTTGATCTTAATAACTTTACAGAATCAGAAGAAGTTCATGTTGATACACTCGGTACTATAATAAAAGAGCTAAGTTAATTCTGTTTATAGTAAAGTTGTAACTTCTTTTCTTTTAATTTTATATAACTCACTTTGTATGACATCAGTATTTGATTGCAAAATGCCTTCTGTGATAAGATCATCGCTTTTACTATTTTCATCTATTGGCCAAACTTCTATTTCAAATTGATCATACACTGGATCAATGATTCCATTTGAATTTTCTGCTGTTTAATATAATACATAATTTGCTAAATATTTACAATTATAATTATTGTTTTCTCAAATAATTAAGTATTATAACATATAGTCATGATATGATCGAACTGAGAAAAAAAGTAACTGTAATTAGATAATGTTAACCTATTATTTTATTTTTTTCATACTATGCTTAATTACAGTACAATATACAGTTAATGTACAATGTAATGAATAAATAAAAAAGTAAATTAACTTACTTATGATGTTAGAATCAAATGCACAGTCAATTCCTTCAACAGATACTTGAATAGCTCTGAATAGTTCTGATTCAAGTTCTGTAGAAGGTTCAGATACATTTTTAAAAGGACCACCACCAGTCACAAAAAGCTGATGTTTGGTACCTCTTAAAATTTTTTTAATGTTGTCATATTTTTGTTCTAAAAAACTTGCAGTTCTTGGCTATTAAAGTAAAATAAATTAAATACCTACCTACTAATTACCAATTGTACAAAAATATGATGTATTCTTACAGATCCCGGTGATTGGGTGTTATATTATACAGCAAAAGTATTTTCTTTATCTTTCAAGGTAACAGCAATTTTTAACAATAGTTCCTTTTCGGTAAAACTGAATTTATTGGAACGTTTCCTTTTACTTAAACCACTCATTTTATATAAGTAATTTAAGTGTATATAAGTATATACTATATATGTCAAACAATTTACTTTTAAAGCACTACAAAGTACAAGTCTACATAAACGTATTATGTAAAAACAACCGGCACTTTCAAAACACGATCACTGATAATAGCAAAAGCAAAATAAGATAATACACTTTTTACAGTATGACCATTCATAAGATATATTGATTTTACGATTAAACTCTAGTTAATTTGAATAAAATTTTTTTTATTTTATTCAAAATATGTAATAGTATGCATTTTGTCCAAAATATGCAAGAATATGCAGTATAAAAACACCACTGTTTATCTCATTATATATATGAGATGATTCGTGAACATAACTGACAAAAGCAATAATCAAAAGTCGCAAAAAAACATACCTTAGCATATAAATCCTAGCCCTACTTATAATATTCAAATATTCTACTAACGTATAGCACCAATCTCTATGTTCAAGTATGGCGATCATATATAATAATAGCGTGTACCTAGGTACTATTTGTTTTAAGATGCAAGGACCAGAATAAAATCAATCTTCATAAGTCAATTAATTACAGCGCCGCAGATTCTATGCACATATTGCACATACAAAACCCTAAAATACCTATAGCCTATGTAATATAATATGCTAATAATTATTATATTATATATTATACATAGGTATGGAAAGAAGTGTTTTTAAAAACACAATTATACTTTAGACCATTTTATTTAGTAATAATATGCTTTTGTAGTAATATACTTTTAAAGTTTATACGTTATTATTAGAGCTAGGATTTTGATAACTTTTGCATTTTTTTTCTTTAAATGCTATACAGTTCTAACCAAAAACCAAATTTTTTTTCGTTATCATATAACAATTTAAAATGTGAAATTTTTATTTTGCACTTTTTGTATTTTCAAGGTCACTTTTACAAATATTACGTCAATTTTGTGTATTTAAACTAATTTTTGATTATTTTAAGCTTTTTTTAATATTTAATAAAATTGTTGCTATTATTTCTCACACTTCGGTTTCTTTTGCTTTAGAAAAATAAAAACTATGTCTTGGGTCACATAACACTGGGTGGAGTCGATAATATTGTATTAACTCCAGACATGATTCATTATCATTACCCTCTCCATTCCATTTCGAAAAGAAATTTAAAAGAATGAGTTAAAGGAATGAAAGTAATAAATAATTTAATAATTAAAAACAAATTATAATTTTAATTATTAATTGGTCGAGGGCGTGCATGCAACAAAGTGTGCGTTTACTTTACACTGAGCAGTAAATATGGTGATTATCACGACGCACAACGAATACGAGCCGACCGACTCAACTCGCGATCGTCGTGTGTCAAAAACGTTCATGCGTGCTCGACATACCGTCCACACTTGGTAAATTTATGCAACGCACAGCGTGAGCACACATGCTCGGACTATGCGTGCTATAGACAGTGTGTACGCGCCTTAACGCGTTTGACTGTTGTTCGCATATCGATAAAAATTAAAAAGAGTATTATTATTTATCGATAACGCAATTTATATAATTGAGCTGGTCGGTGTTTTCCTAATGTTAAAACTATTATTAAAAATGTTATATTAATTTGCAGTTTATAATTTCGACAAGTATTTACTTATGAGTTTACTACAGAGTGCATAAACGATTATAACTTACTATAATGACGAATACAATTAAATTGTGAATAATAGATCACTGGTAGGATTATTTGGTACAACTTTGTGAAAAAAAATTGGAAAAATGTTAAGTAGTAACTTCACAAAACGGGAACATAAAGGTCCAGTTCGTTTTGTATTAATAGGGATAAAAATACAATTCCCTTTCTACCTCCCTTTAAACAAAAAAAAAAAAAAAAAATTAAAAATCGGACAACGTGGTGACACTAAGAAGGTATTTTGAACAACTCTGTGAAAAAAAAAAATTGGAAAAATGTTAAATAATATCGTCACAAAATGGGAACATAAAAAAGACCTGTTCTTTTAAATATATAAAGATAAGAATTGGTGTGTTTACATTAATACATTATATATAACATAATATACACACCCATACAGAATATTTTAGGATCACAATACTCAATGCCAGTTATAATTTATAAGACAATAATAATATTATGCATGTTTAAATTAATCATACATTCGTGTTACATATTTTTACACAAATTAATAATAATTAACAGGGTTGAGATTTTATAGCATTTGCATAGGTACTTCTTATGAGATGCTTAAAAAATAGCAGAGTTAGCTAAAAATGTATTTTATAATACAGAGAACTCGAATTAAAATTTTATTTTGCATATTTTGCGATTTTTTTTTAATTTATTGCTATTTTTGGACTGTATGAGACGTTTTGAATTTTAACCCGTTTTTGAATCAAAATTGGTCATATTCTACAAAATAATATTTCAGTAGACATGTCTTTAAATTATTGTCGAATGAAATACATATTACATAGATTATAGATTAAGTTTACAAACCGAATACGCGAACGCACTAATGCGACGCGATTAAATTGGTTGTCTGCTTGATTTTGTTGGATTTTTTCTATAGAAATTGACTGCGATTGCCGATTACCATTGAACAAGTGTTGAGAGCATTACTCTATGAAAATTTCGTTTTATTTCGCATATATGTTTTGTAATTTTTAGCGCATATTTATGCGATGTTAAGTACTATAAAATCCCAAACCTGATAATTATAACAATAAAATTATAAAGTATGCACCGCACGGTCACAGAATTTTTTATATATTGCAAATTTTCAATGTTGTATTTATCAAGTCACATATATATTTTATTCGGCAATACCAACCAAATCGAGTGAATTTTTTTTTTACTTCTAGTGCTATGCCCAATGGTAAAAATGTTTATCAGTCAATCGTAACAGATATTAGCCGTTTACGCTCAGTGGACACTGACCATGGTCAACCTGTTCAGTGTCTCGTAACAGTGTGCATTAGATAAATTAATTTCCTCGTGAGAAGTTTAATCAGACGTTATCAGTTATCATGATATCACACCCGAGTTCGTAAGTTCATCTCGCGTTGTTGTTGTTCGATTCTAAATTTCAAAAACTAGTGTTTACAGTTATTTTATTGTTGAAAGTGAATTTACACTTTAATAAAATTATTGTGATTTGTGTTTAACTTAAATAGTAGTTATAATTATGAATAGCGATAATTCTTCTAGTTCTGATGAAGAAATTAACAGTCCAGCCATAATGAGGGGTCCCTATAGCCTCTTCAGACTTCGAGATCATTTTTCTTTTTGGACAGATGACGATTTTCTTGACAGATTTCGACTGAGTAAAACTTCTGTTCGTTTTATTGTCATTGAACTAGGCGACCGTATCATTGGCTGGTTAGTTTTTTCATATTTTAAGAGAATTAATAAATTCATAAGACCATAATAATAAAGTGTAAAGCAACAACACATGAACAAATTTATTTTTTCACTTATGAATTTTTATCAGTTTTTATTGTATTTTTCCTATTAGTTATTTTAAATATGCAAAAAATCATTAATAACAGTTTAAACACGTGTTACAGGAATAATGATTTAAGTCCAGAGCATCAAGTGATCTTAACACTACAGTATTATGCGACCGGGTCAATGTTGATTGCTTGTAGAGAATTTAGAGGAATTAGTAAATTGACTGCATGCCGTGTAGTGAAAATTGTTTCACATTCCATTGCTGCATTGCGTTCAGATTTTATCGAATACCCCTACCGCGAACAAGATATAAGGATGCTGAAATTAAATTTCTTCACTATTGCTAATTTTCCAATGGTTATTGGCGCATTAGACTGTACCCATGTTAAGATCAAGTTTCCTGGAGGAAACTATGCAGAGGCATACAGAAATAAGAACAACTTCTTTTCAATCAATGTTCAAATAATCTGTGATTCAAGGTTAAAGATTTTAGATATAGATGCTAAATGGCCTGGATCTTCACATGATTCTGCCATTTTTGATAATTCTGCCATACGAAGGAAGTTAGATAATTTTCACATTGAGAACTGCGTATTAATAGCTAAAAGTGGTTATACACAACATAAATACATTATGACTTTGGTAGCGAACCCTCAAACAGCTATTGATTCAGAATCTGGTATTAATGAAAATATTATTGCTAGATATAATGAATCATTAAGTAAGACTAGAAATACTGTTAAAAATTGTTGCAATATTTGGAAAATTCGATTTCCTATATTAGCTACAGGAATAAATGTCAAAATTACATCTCCACAAAGTATAATTGTTGCCACAGCAGTAT